AGCTATATCCAAATCTGAACCGATTTCAATATAATTTGACAAATTAATTTTTGCTCCCAATTCCGTTACTTATTTTAAATTTCATTACAATTGGAAATACATATCGTGTTTGGTCCACCAAATACATGAAATCGACCGAAAATGTATATGGGAGCTATATCCAAATCTGAACCGATTTCAATATAATTTGGGAAATCAATTTTTTAGATAAAATCTATCACACGTTTCAAATTTCATTGAAATTGGGGATACATAGCGTGATTGGTGCATCAAATGCTTGAAATCGGCCGAAAATTATTTTTGTTCCAAATTCCGTTACATATTCCAAATTTGGAGACTGTATCTTCAACCAATCAATGGATATGTGCATATAAAATCTAAATTTCTGGGAGGTACCTCCGATTCTGATACTATATCTCCAGTTCCAAGTGGAAATTCAAAAATGTATATAGCCTATGTTACTTTCAGGCGATGTTGCAGTATATATGGAAATTTTGAGGCAAATCTATTCAGCGGTTTTCGAGTCCATAAATTACAAACATACAAACATTTTCCTCTTTTATAGATATAGATTGGGTCTAAGATAATTATTTCGATGAGTTACAAACGGAATGACATATGGTGGAGGGTAAAATTAACGCTTTGATTGGGATTTGAACTCGCAACTCATGGCCCGTTTTTAATATCCCTCAACCAACTGAGCCATTACAACACTAGAACGTGGTGCTTAAAATAAGTAAACTATACCTAATAATGTGTCAATAAACAAATGATTTTTTTGTTAACGCTGAAATTCAAAACACAAGAAGAATGACGAAATAACGGTAAATGACATTCCTTGCATTCAACTCTTTGAATTATGACTTAGATAAAACAAAATGGCAATAATGCAGGTAAGCGTAAGAAACTATTGAGTCGGCAATTGAGGTTTTTATAAGGGTTTTCGTGTGGGTATATTTGTTTTTATACCCTACACCACAAGGTGGTCAGGGTATTATGTCTTTGTGCATTTGTTTGTAACAGGCAAAAGGAAACGAGATAGACCCATAGTTCCTTTTGATGATCTGCATAGAATTACATTCTGAGCCGATTTACGCATGTCCGTCCATCTGTCTGTCCGTCTGTCCATGTATTTTTGTAAACAAAGTACAGTTCGCATTTATTGCCCTATCCAAATGAAATTTTGCACATATCATTTGTTTAGCCCAAGGACGAACCCTTTTAAATAGGATACTACACCCTAAGACGGAAATTTATCTGTGCAGGTCCACGTCTTCGTCTAGCCCCCATATAACGGTGCATCCCGATATTCGGTATTTTGATGATTTTAGCGACATTATTCACGGGAATTGTTTCAAATTTGGTATTTGAAGTTCAAAATGGATACTACACCCTAAGACAGAAAATTGTCTATGCAGGTCCACGTCTTCATATAGCCCCCCTAATAACGGTACCTCCCTATATTCGGTATTTCGATGATTTTAGTGACATTATTCACCCGAATTGTTTTAAAATTGGTATTTGAAGTTCGTTATGGGAACTACAGTCTGTGACAGAAAATTGTCTGTGCGGGTCCAGGTCTTCGTATAGGCCCCATATATCAGTACCTCCCTATATTCGGTATTTTGACGATTTTAGGTACAATACCCACCGAAATTGTTTGAGATGTGGTATTTGAAGTTCGTAATATATGCTACAGCCTGTGACAGAAAATTGTCTATGCTGGTCCAGGTCTTCGCACAGCTCCAATTTAACGGCACCTCCTTATATACTATATTTTGATGATTTTAGCTACATTATTCACCGTTTATTTCAAGTTTCGATATTTTTAAAAATTATATTCTATATATTCGGTATTTTTAAAAATTTTAACAGAATTTTTTAAGGATTTTATTTTTTGAAAATTTCCAAATTCGTTGCAAATGGTGGAGGGTATTAAAAGTTCGGCCCGGTCGAACTTACTGCTTTTTAACTTGTTTTATTTTAAAATTGAAAAATAATCATTATTTAAATTTTTCTCCAATTTTCCACGATCAATTTGACAAAGTACCATTCATAGCGTGGACTATATTTTATTGCTGCACAGTGTTTTCCCCTGGAAAACACTTGATTTTAGGAAAAATATTTTTAAAAAAAATCCGCGGATTAATCTTTTATGAGTGTTTATATCTTGAAAGTATACCTCATGGACTTTCCAACGTGCTATTCCATGTGTTTGCCCTATATTTCTTTTTCGCACAGTGGGACTCGATGATAACTTTTGAAGAATCAGAAAAGTCAATTTTTACCTAATTTTCCACTATCGATTTGGCCAAATAATAGCGTTTTAAAAAGCTTTTGGAACGACCTTTTCTTCAGTACCATTCATATGCGTGCACTATTTTTTGTTGCTGCACAGTGGGTCACTTTATGTTTCCCTCTGGAAAACACATGATTTTAGGAAAAATATTTAAAAAAAAAAATCTGTCCGATTAATCTTTTAGGAGTGTCTATATCTCACGGGCTTTCGGACGTGCTATTCCATATGCTTGCACAATTTTTAGTTTTCGCACAATGGGACTCGATGATAACTTTTGAAAAATCAGATAAGTCAATTTTTACCTAATTTTCCACTATCGATTTGGCCAAATAATAGCGTTTTAGAAAGCTCTTGGAACGACCTTTTCTGCAGTATCATTCATATGCGTGCACTATTTTTTGTTGCGGAACCACCTTACGACATTTTTAAGACTTTTTAACAGCCAATTTCAGTAGCAAAAATGGAAGTGGACCAAGTATTCATTTCCGATCCTTTCAGTTTTAAAGGTTTTCTTTACCTCATGGTGGAGAGTGATAAAAATTCGGCCCGGCCGTACATAACAACTTTTTACTTGTTTTCGATTCTAGACATGCAGCATTTTTTTCCACGGTGCATTCATGTTTTTCCAAAATGGTGGTTTTTTGTATTTGACTTCAAGCATGACAGTAGGCGTATAATAACATTCAAACTCTAATCGGACACCTAACACTGATAGTACCAAAAGTAATATTTATCGTTTCTTTGTACAGCTTTCCAAAAACTTCTTTTACGTGCCAAAGCGGGTGACAGCAAAGGGAGATAACTATCTATTAAAAATATTTCTGTTAGTATGGTTTTAAAGTAAAAAAACATTAAGTTCGGCCGGTCCGAACTTTTAATACCCTCCACCTTAGGGTAAAGGAAACATTAGAACCCATTGCGACCCACAAATACCAATTTTTAGACACATTCCTGTGAAAATGTCGCAAAATCATCAAAATATTGAATATCGGGAGGTACCGCAATATGGGGCTATACAAAAACTTGAATATATACATACAATGTTTCGGCAACGGATCTAGAACCCATTAGGACACACAAAATACCAATTTTTAGACAAATCGGCGAACAAATGCGGCAAAAATCATCAAAATGTAGAATATCTGGAGGTACCGTTATATGGGAGCTGTACCAAAATGTGGACCTATACATACAATGTGTCGCCACCGCAGCAAATCCAACACAACAAACCCGGGAAAAATGTGACAATGTGATTTTACTCTGATTATAAATATATATACTTTATGGAGTCTACGACGAATATTTAGGGATGTAATAAACGAAATGACAAAGTTAATAAACCTCTTTTCCAAGGTGGAGGGTATAAAAATAATTATTTTGTTTTATTATTTTATTTCCAATATTCATAATCAGGGATAGAACTTCAAAGAAGAAATAACATTCAGTGTAATATTTTATAAACAATTAACAAATACAGATAATCACGTGTATATTCTAAAACCATTTTCTTCCACATCACATCCTTTCTACTTCGTGTTTTGTGTCTGATTTATATTTCATTTTATTTTAATTATAAAAATAATTATTTTGTTTTATTATTTTATTTCCAATATTCATAATCAGGGATAGAACTTCAAAGAAGAAATAACATTCAGTGTAATATTTTATAAACAATTAATGTATCTTCGCTGTTAATTGATCTCTTGTATTAATGTGTGAATTATTAGTATGGCAGGTAGTTGCACAGTGTATGACAAGTGCTGTTTTCCTTTTTAGATGTTTGTATTTAGCTTTGTAGTCAGATTTATGACACTTGACTAAAAATGTAACATTGCATTTCTCCTTTTCCGTTAAGCTCCTTATTGCGCGTAGATCTGTGCTTAATTGTAACTTTAACGTAGGGTCTTTATTTTTACACCATTCACCATACATAGTATGGGGGTATATTAAGTTCGTCATTCAGTTTGTAACTCATTTAAATATATCGGTCCACGATATCGTATAGCCCACATTTAACGGCAATCCCCATATTCGATATTTAGATAATTTTAGCCACATTTCAATAGAATTGTCTGAAAATCCACACCAGAAGTTCCTGCTGATTACTCTGCCTTCTTGAAGAGAACTTTTTATATAGGTCCACGACATCGTATATTCCCCATAGAACGATGCCTCCCGATATTCGGTATTTTAATGATTTTACATACATTATTCGGCAGAATTATTTCAAATTTCGTAATGGGTATCACTATCTATGACGGACAATTGTCTATGTAGGTTCACGTCTTCATATAGCCCACATATAATGGCACATCCCTTTATTCGGTATTGACATCTTAACCGGTAACGACACCCTTAACCGGAATTATTTCAAATTACGTATTTAAAGATCGTAATGGGCCTACATGAAATATTTCTAATAAAGGACTACGTCTTCGTATAACCCTCATAGTGTAGTATTTTTCTACGGATTTTTTTGAGATTGTTCAAATTTCTTCAAAATGGTGGAGGATATTAAAAATTCGGCCGGCCGAACTTAGCTGGCTTTTACATATTTAACTATATAATGAGGTAGTATATTTTTTAACTATACACTGATAAAAGAGGTATTGTCATAAAACATAATTACAAATTTTTACAGAACATGGATTATAATATGCATCACGTGTTTAATAATATGTATATATTTTGTTATTTTTAGTTTGAGAGAGACATGAATATGTGGAATCATAAAATATTTCGCAGAAGACCATGTTTGGTAAAGGAAGATATGATGATAGTTTCCTTTAGAAATTGGTTTGAACAATTTTATTCGGAAAACAGTCTTACATTCTCTGAAGCATATGAAAATATTAGTTGGTGAATCTAATAAGAAATAATAAAAGCGGGAGATCTATCTTATATAAATTCAACAGTCATTGCTGATATTTCATATAAAAAAGATCCTTGTTCTGGTAAATTTTATTTATGTACAGATTTAACTTATTGATTTCTTATAGTTGTAAGAGAGCCTAGCTTTATTTCTGAGCCTAGAATTTATTCAATTTTTAAATTGTTTACTAGACAACCCTTTTTATTCCAAAATATGTTGTAAAACCGGTAGTAGAATTTATGAGAAATGAAGCAAAATTTACAGCCAATAGCCACTGATAGGTATCACATTTTTTTACCCTCCACCTTGGAGAGGAGGGTATATTAACTTTGTCATTCCGTTTGTAACATCCCTAAATATTCGTATTTAAAATATTCGTATAAAGTATATATATTCATAATCAGCATAAAATTCTAAGTCGATTTAACGATGTCCGTCTGTCTGTTGAAATCACGATACAGGCCACATTATTTGACGTAGAGCTTCAAAATTTAACAGAACAGTTTGTACAGAACAGTCTAGGGTGGTTGGTATTGAAAATTATATATCGGTCCACGTTTTGGCATAGTCCCCATGTAACGGTACCTCCATATTCTTTCAACGATTTTTCTAAAAATTGGTATTTGTGGGCCATAATGGGTTCTAGCTCCGGTGGCGAAATATCGCATGTATAGGTCCACGGTACCTCCCGATATTCGGTATTTTGATGATTATTGCCACACGGATTTGTATAAAAATTGGTATTTGTTTGTCATAATAGGTTCTAGCTGCGGTGGCGAAACATTGCATATATAGATACACAGTTTAGTATAGCTCCCATATGACGGTTACTCCCGATATTCGGTATTTTGATGATATTTGCCTCATTTCTTCGCGGATTTGTCTAAAAATTGGCATTTGTTACTCATAATGGGTTCTAGCTCCGTAGGCATTGTATGTATAGGTCCAGGTTTTTTTATGGCCCCATAAAGTGGTACCTCCCGATATTCGGAATTTTGATGACTTTTGTCATATTTTTCCACGAATATGTCTGAAAGTTTTTATTTGTGGGCTCTAATGTTTTCATTACCGTAAGGTGGAGGGTATTAAAAGTTCGGCCCGGCCGAACAGAATGTTTTTTCTGTACTGTCTTAGTAATGAGTGATATTGGCAATTAGCTTTGTTGCATTTTTGCCATTAAAAAAGCTACGAAATCACAGTATGCATGCAAACTCCAAAACTTGCTTAAAGGATCAACTGTTATTTTTAAATAACTCATAGGAGAATAACTTCAGGAAAAAACCTAAGAAATCTAATTCATAGTGGTGGCTATTTTCGAAACTGTGGCCCTGACTTGCAGATTGGTAAATATCGCAAACTTTAAACACTAATAAATAAATGTTGCTTGTTTAAAAACAACAACGATCGGACTAAAATCAATTATGTTATTTTTAAACTGATGTATATATATTTTTTATAACCTTGTGTTTTTACAATGTTTGTTTTTATATCCTCCACAATACTATGGAGGGTACACTGAGAGCAGAAAAATCATCAATATGATGATTTTGAGCATTTCTTTCTTCGATTTTCAGCTTATAACCCGTTTCATGTCAAATATATTTATCAATTTAATGAAATAATTTCATCACCTTGAAGAAAAAGCATTATTTAATTGAAGAATTATTTTCTTCATTTCGGTGAAAAAGTATACTCAAATTGATGTTCGATAATTTGTATATAATGAATATTCTTCATCATTCCAATGAAAGGTATTCATCAAAATGCGCTACTCATTCATTACAATTACATTACTTCAATGAATTAGTTGCATTAAACTAATGTATAGCTTACAGTTAATCAATGAAACCCTTATATCGAACTGAATTTTGTTTTCCGCCTTAGAAACGCCGTTATAAAGTTTACAAAATTCAATATAAATACAAATATTTTACGCCAGTTAGGAAATATTTTTCATTAAAAAAAAACTTAAAAAATTAATTCAATATGCTCTCAACCATTAATGGAATATATATTTCAATATTTTCATGTAATAGCAAATAAAAACACTATGCATATGATATAAATTAAAAATGTACATAAATATAGGACGCTTTCAGCGTTTGAATTATATTTAAAATATAAAAATAAGTATGTTGTAGATAAATCATAAATATAAATCAGTTTTCGCTATAATTTAATTAGCTTAAAATATTTAGTATTTTGGTATTTTGTGAGCTGATTTCATGTCATAGAAGTACTCTTGAACAAAGATCCAGAACTGATTGGATCCCCCGGGAAATTCTATGTTAAATAAAAAAGCTTTTGAAGCAAGTATCAAGTGCTCGCTGGAAATCTGCAAAACTCAGCAATGCATGGTGCAAATAAACATAGTAATTGTAGTAACTATCTTCTAAATAGTCGTCTCCAACATCAAAAATAAAATATTCTCATTTCTCTTTCCAAAAAATGTAAGTGGTTGCCAACTTCTTGGATACTTTCCGTGAGGATTATTGACGATTCTTTGAAGTCTTTTATGGTGTATTTACCATATGTTTCCTTTCCATCCTTATCTTTTCGGAGGTATTTTGATTTTGGATGTAAGTAGCCATGTAGACACAAAGTCAAACGCATTATAAATAAAGACATGTTTGAGACTACAAAATAAATATAAATACCAGCTTTTTAATGATAAATAGCATTGATATATCAATTTTATCGAAAACTGATTTAATCCCAGCATCTTTAACATATGTTTTTTTTTTTTCTTAATCACATTATACAAAGATATTAGTTTAGTTTCCCATACGAATATTGGTGTGTAGTCTTTACGCAGGACTCCGAAGTCTATCTAAACGAAATATCAACATACACAGGTATCCAGAATATTTAAATAGGGTTGAAATTTAAATTAAGTTACTTACCAACTTTGTGGCCCGGTTGTTCGTCAAATATTTGGCGTATTCGGTAATTTGCGCATGACTGTCACATTTTCAAAAATTATTCTTGGTCGATATTATCGTATTTTAATCTATGAATTATTTCTTTGTCGGATTCTTAAGAAACTAAAATAGAATCTCGAATTTAGTACATATATATAAATTATAACGGAGTTTGTTTGGAATATCTTACCAATATTATCCAAAGGTTTAGATGCCTTGGGTAAATTGACATCATCTCCATCTTATTGGTAAATTTCCACGTCTGTCGGTGCGGTAAAAATGGGATTTCTCATTGGGAAACATTTCTATTACCCCCTGAAAGAGAATCTATATCTATAAAAGAGGAAAATGTTTGTATGTTTGTTTGTTTGTAATTTATGGACTCGAAAACCGCTGAATAGATTTTCCTCAAAATTTCCATATATACTGCAAAATCGCCTGAAAGTAACATAGGCTATATAAATTTTTGAATTTCCACTTGGAACTGGAGATATAGCATCAGAATCGGAGGTACCTCCCTAAAAAATTTAGATTTTGTATGCACATATCTATTGATTGGTTGAAGATACAGTCTCCAAATTTGGAATACGTAACGGAATTTGGAACAAAAATAAGTTTGCCAAATTATATTGTAATCGGTTCAGATTTGGATATAGCTCCCATATATATTTTCCACCGATTTCGTTCATTTGATGCCTCAAACACACTATGAATGTTCGATTCCAATGAAATTTGGAATGTGTGACGGGATTTGATCCGAAAATAAATTTGTCAAATTAAATTGGAATCGGTTCAGATTTGGTCCCACATATATTTTCGGCCGATTTCAAGCATTTGATGCACCAAACACGCTATGTATCCCCAATTTCAATGAAATTTGAAACCTGTGATAGATTTTATCTAAAGAATTGATTTCCCAAATTATATTGAAATCGGTTCAGATTTGGATATAGCCCCCATATACATTTTCGGTCGATTTCATGTATTTGGTGGACCAAACACGAAATGTATTTCCAATTGTAATGAAATTTAAAATAAATAACGGAATTGGGAGCCAAAATGAATTTGTCAAATTAAATTGAAATCGGTTCAGATTTGGATATAGCTCCCATATATATTTTCGACCGATTTCATGTATTTTATGCACCATACACGATAAATATGTTCGATTCCAAAGAAATTTGGAATATGTAGCGGGATTTTGATTAGAAAATAAATTAGTCGAATTATATTAAAATCGGAGAGAGACGAAATCTGGCACCAGAAAAAAATTGTCAAATTATATTGACATCAGTTGAGGTTTGGGTATAGGTAACATATATATTTCGGGCGATTTCCTACATGTTATGCACCAAAAATGATATATATGTCCGATACCAATGAAATTCAGAATGCGTGACGGAATTTGGTTACAATAATAAATGTGACAAATTAATTGGAAATTAGTTTAGATTTGGATATAGCTCCCATATATATATATATATATATATATATATATATATATATATATATATATATATATATATATATATACTCGGCCGATTTCACATATTAAACGCACCAATTTCAATGAAATATGAAAAGTGTGGCGGAATTTGGTGAAAAAGTAATTTTTTTTAAATTATATTTAAATCGGATCAGATTGGGATAGGATTTTAATAAGAACTTTTGACCCACAACGCCTTAGGCTAACAATAAAAAACAACACAACAATTCATTTCAAATACGCTTATTACGGCGAAGTATGTTGCTATCCCGAATTCACTAATTGCAATAGAAATGCCACTCAACTTCAAAAGATTGCAGTTTACTGCACGCTTGGTATTTGCTATGAAATAAATAAATCCGAAGGACAAACACTTCGTGTATGTATGTCATGTTACTGCTTTTCTAATGGGTTTGTTTATTTACGCATTAAAGTAGTGCAATATTTTTTTTTAATTTTTATACCCTCCACCATACTATGGAGGGTATATTAATTTTGTCATTCCGTTTGTAACTCCTCGAAATATTCATGTCAGACCCAACAAAGTATATATATTCTTGATCAGCGTAAAATTCTAAGACGATTTAGCCATGTCCGTCTGTCTGTCTGTGTGCCTGTCTGTCTGTCTGTCTG